ATGAAAGTTGTCATTCCTTCACAGCTGCCTCTGTAATTCATTACGTTCTGATTACTATGGAAGAGCAAATTTGGGCAATAACAATCAATATCAATTAATTTGGTGATTTTTAGCAAGAAGACTGAGGGCTTGAAAACAAATCTGTCCCCAGATGTAATTAGGAATGACGAGCACTTGTTGGATCCCTCAAGCATGTTTCGCTGCATCCTGTTAATGATGTTCACCAACATGTATTCTGATTCACAAACTGGGTGTGGATAGATGGATGGATAGATAGATAGATGGATGGATGGATGGATGGATGGATGGATGGATGGATGGATGGATGGATGGATGGATGGATGGATGGATGGATGGATAGATGGATGGATGGATGGATAGATAGATAGATAGATAGATAGATGGATGGATGGATGGATGGATGGATGGATGGATGGATGGAGATGGATAGATGGATAGATGGATGGATGGATGGATGGATAGAGAGATACTTTATTGATCCCAAATTGGGAAATGTTTGCATTGCAGCAGCATAAAAAGACAAGGCAATGTACATAAGAGAAATTAAAACACTAGAAATAAACAATCCAAAGATATTTCTGAAATATAAATAAAGTAGCATTAAAATGTTAAGACTGTGGAATTAATAGTTTCTTATTGTCCAACACATTCTTTCAGCTGATCTGCAGTCAGCACACGGTGTTCTGACCTGCAGCTGATCCTTCTGCTTTCTGCACAGACCTCATTTTCCAAGGCCGCACCAGTGTTTCTGCATGTTGTACTGCATTTAAATGTTAAGCCAGGAGACAGAGCCTCCCAAATTATGGAATGAATTGCCCCTCCAGGTTAGAGTTGCTCCAACTCTGCCTGTTTTTAAATCTGGTTTAAAAACCCACTTCTTTTCCCTGGCATTTACAGACCAGGTGACACTTGTGCTGTTAAATGTGGGTTTTTATCTTCCTAGTGTTTTGTATTGTTTTAACGTCATGTAGGAGAGTTTCTCAGTCTGTGGCTTCTGATCTGGTTTCATTGTCCCCTGTTGTACATTTGTTTCACGTCTTGTCTGTTTTTTATGTATGTATGCTATGTTTTTATACAGTTGTTGATGTACAGCACTTTGTTCGACTTTAAATGTGCTTTCAACCATATATCAGGGTCTTCATCAGCAGATGTAGTTCCTCAATGGAACTCAATACCCAGGAATACGCGGTCATGTAAACCAATTGATTTCTAGTTGCCCTTAAGTTAAGATAATTGTGCTAAATGACTTAACCTTAGGTCAAGACTAATCTCTAACGCTTAAGCATCATTATTGCTGCACCCAATGCTCTTGTTCAACTAGGAGACCACTTTAACCATTAACCATGTTAAACCAAAGGCACTGTCTTATTTCAATTGAAGTCCTTTATGTAAACGTCTTGTACCTAAATGGACGTAGGCAACATACTAACATGAATTATGATATAAACAATAGAATAGAATCGGAGGGATGAAACCCTCTTTAATGGTCACACATGCAGAGCACACAGCACACACAGTGACATGTGTCCTCTGCATTTAACCCGTCCTAGTACCAGGAGTCTAGTACTAGGAGCCAGCTATTGTACAGCGCCCGGGGAGCAATGGGAGTGAGGAGGTGTCCGGTGCCTTGCTCAAGGACACCACGGCAGGGCAGGAGGTGAACTGGGACCTCTCCAAGTAGCAGTCCACACTCCATTTGTTTTTCTCATATTCTGCACAAACTGTGCTGTTGTATTTGCTGTAAAGTGTCTTTACTGTAGGGTATTTTTATTATATGTACAGCACTTTGGCTCGACCAAAAATCGTTTAAAAATGTGCTATATAAATAAAACTTGATTAGATTTGATATTTAGGTCTGGTCGGGAACTTGAACCGGCGACCCTACGGCTCACAGTCCAAGCCCCTACTGACTGACACACTGCCGAACAACGATAGTACTTGTTTGAACAGAAACATCTCGTTTTCCTAAGCCTAACCAAGTGGTTTTGATTCAATTTACAAAGTTGACCAACATTTTTTATCTACCACAATTTATTTGGTGCAGTAATAATGAAAACGCCCGATAATAACAAGTTAAAGGGTTTTGAAATGTGTGCTGTGACGCAAGGTATCATAGTGCCGCACAACGTTATGGCTGCACATGGTTGGAAGAATCATCGCCTTGAATTATTAGACAATATTCGATTATTAATATTGTGTGAAGTTACTTTCAACATAATTAACAGCCTTACCGTGGGTTCATAAGAAGTACAAACGCATTTCACTCCTTCAACAAATGTTTAAATGGTTCGGCTTTACACTGAATCAATATTAAAGAGATTGAAGTCAGTTTAAATATGCAGAAATAAACCTTCATATTGAATATATATTACAGTGTGTTTGTTTTGGATCCACTGATAAATCCTCAGGCTGATGAGACACATTTTATGAAAGGTCGACTGTCTACTTGTGCAAATAAGATTTCTGAAGCCTAGGCATTTGAAGGAAAACAAATGCATATCTGAACATGCTGGAGTGGGTTGAGAGCCATATGGGAATACACAGAATCAATAGTTCAGTGCAAAACACAGAGCCTGCTCAGGACATATCTCAAATAAATAGATAAATACAAAATGCCACACAATAAACCCAAAATATTCTGTCTCTGTTTGGAAGGCAGTGGTCGAAGCATATGCCAGCAGATGGTGGGTGTTAGTTGGCCGTGATTTTGGTGTTTGCTACTCTCAGCTTGTGACGAAGATAACTTTGTCACTGTGGACTGACGGCTTCAGGCCTTGAATATTGCACATGTGGGTTTGTACAGGACAAATGTCACTCAGCACTTTAGTGAACAGTTCGCACTTTATTAGCGTGATTTGCACAGTACTGTTAAACATTGCATATTTGCAAATTTTTATACTATTTATTGATGTAGTATTTATTCAATGATTAAACCGTATTAAATTGGAATGTCGTCTGGCAGACGCTGGTCGGGCCCTCGGCTCCACCTGGAAAGAGAGGGGAGTTATAGCGAGAGCGCCAAAAGTGTTTGTTTGTGTAAGATTGACAGCGGTTGAGATTAGTCATTGTGTGCAAATGATATGTTTCAGCGTGTAAAGGTCATGGTGTAAAGATGCATTAATTGTACAAGTTACCACCGTGTTATTCTGTTCACTTATAATGTTTGTGTTTGAAAAGTGTTCCCCCTCCCGTCTTTTCTGTTGCTCCTGATTATGTTCACCTGGTGCCCTGTGTTGTCTCCTCCCCCCTCACCTGTGTCTTGTTGGTTTGATTAATCTGTGGGTATTTAGGCTCTGTGTTTCCTGTTTGTGGGTGTGTGAGATCCTTGTGGCTGGTGACTGTGCTCACGGGAACAGCAAGATTGAGGCTGTGTCCTGTGCTCGAATTTAATAAACGCCCACACCGGGTTATATTTTTGGACGTTCTGCCTCCTTGCTTGGTCGGGCCGCTCAATTGTCGGCTTCACACTGGACCTCCAGACGCTTATTGTTGACGCGCACCTCAAGTTCCCTCCTTGCTTCTCTGGTGCTAAGATGGTATACAATAAGCGTCTGGAGGTCCAGTGTGAAGCCGACAATTGAGCGGCCCGANAAAGTTCACTCCTCCTCTATCTGCGCACGGCGTGGACTCCTACAGTTTAAAATTCTTCATCGTCTACACTATACTAAAGCGAAATTAGCCAAGTTTTATCCTAATGTGAGCCCCATGTGTGCTAGGTGCAAGACTCAAGTAGGGAATCTTATTCACACTTTTTGGACTTGTCCCCGGCTTTGCAAGTACTGGGAAGATGTTTTTAGGACTCTCTCAGAAGTGTTTGAAATTCCTCTATCAGTCTCCACTGACAGCATTGTTTGGAGTTGTTGCTAGAGAAGCTCAACTTCCAAAATATAAATTAAATGCCATTGCTTTTGCATCGTTGACAGCTCGACGACTAATTCTTCTTAAATGGAAGGATGAATCACCACCCACCCATACTCACTGGATTAGGGACCTGTTGCAATTTTTGCGACTGGAGAAAATCCGGTCCACTCTGAAGGGATCTACTGATAGATTTTATAAGGCCTGGCATAGCCTGCCTTGTTGCACCAGCTCAAGTAACCGCTTGATGGTGAGCATTTGGAATCTTTGAAATAAAACGCTTTATGCCTGTCGTTAGTGTGATCAAGACACAACCTGTTCAGTTTGTATCTCTGATAAGAGGTCAAATCTGCATTACATTTTGTGTAAATTCAGTGAACTTACTATAATTTCTCCAACCCACCCTATTCATTGCGATTCTATTTCAAGCCACCATTAATCATATGTTATTTATCAGTGATGACGGAACAGGTCACCAGTTAATTTGAAGGGCATGTGAAGCCGACAATTGAGCGGCCCGACCAAGCAAGGAGGCAGAGGCAGAACGTCCAAAAATATAACCCTGTGTGGGCATTTATTAAATTCGAGCACAGATCACAGCCTCAATCTTGCTGTTCCCGTGAGCACAGTCACCAG